ATGTGTATCAGTCTTTTGGATACCGAATAACATATATACAAGGCAAGGATTCTGTGGAGAAGGCTCTCTCTTTTTTTCTTTTGTGAGACCAACTGGTGCGGTTGGAAAGAAGACAACCCAGGGCACGCATCTTTCTTCTGGTCTGAAGATACGAGTGATTTATTTGAAAAGTTACATTAGTTATTTTTGTATCTGCTTCTCAAGCACCAGGACCGTTTAAAATACACTAGTATTATAAGTAGGTGTTCAACTAAACCAAGAGCATAGTTGAAGCAACTTCTAAAACCTGCCCTGTCCTATCTCTGTCGAACTGGCCATGCCAAAACCCCTCGCAGACAGTATTCTACCCTCAGCTGAGTATGAGGTCAGCGATTATGTCCCACTGTTTCCCACCTTTCACTGTATTCCCTTTTAAAAATACTTTTTAAAATAGCACAAAAGACCTAAAATTGTGCTGATGTTTCCAGAATCATTTCTTTTATGGAGAAACATGGCAATAATTCTTGCAATTTATTATGTATGATGGGGATTGCTGTCTCACAGAGCTCCAGTGAACCTGTGGACAGATGCAGTAGTCCATCTGCATGCAACAAATGTAGGGCTTATGCCTTAATTAGGATTGCTCTTCTACTGAATCCTCCTCTGTGTCTCTTGTTTGTTTGTTTGTTTGTCTTTGCTTTCTGAAGAAGAAGTGATTTTGCTGCGATAACTCAAGAGACCATGGTGTGGTTCCTGTCAGTATTGGAATGGTGAGGACAGTTGACTTCAATGTACAGAGCTGTCAAAGTACAACCTAATGCCTTCCAATCCCTGTCAAAAGTACACATTTCTTTTAGGTATAGCTAAGTTTATTTACTGTTTTGTATGTTAAATTTAATAGTAGAAGTATTCCCATCTTTTTTTTTAATTCTGCTGACAGCAAAACAAGCAGAAAAACAAGCAGCCAAACAATTCCTTTAAAATCAAAGCACTGCAGCACCAAGAACATGAAAATGAAATGGCTGCAAAACAAAAGTGGAACTAAGCTCGATATCCTTGACAGTGATGATCAGATAAATGAATTAGAGTGGAAACAGTACAGAGAAACTGATTATTTATCATTCTTTCACTTTGAACACATTTTAAATTTTCTGCATTTCTAGTAACACTTGTGTTTAACAAACACAGGAACAGTTTTCTAGCTTGCTTTTTGCTGTGGTTTTAGTAACCTACAGGCAGCTGGAATCCAGAGTTTCTGGCTTACTCAGAAATGTTCTTAAGGTGCGGGAACCGTGGAAAGAGGGGAGGATAGTTCCTCATTTATGAAGGTAGAGAGAGTAGTTCATTAAAAGCAGACTTTACTCCTGTGAATCGTAGCCACCAGAAAGGCTTTTGAGCTGGTCACAGTCTATTATGCTAAATACTGAGAGAAGCTTAGACCAACTCTGACATCATGAGAGTTCAAAGTCTGCACATGATCACGTTTAGTCTTGTTTTGAGTGCTGTTTAATCACAGTAGGGAATTGAATACAGTATTTTCACGGTAATAATATCCTTCTCTCAAGCATTTGAATCACTGTAAAACATACATATGTAATTAATAAGTTGCTGTGGATAGTACCTTCTGCTGAAATTACATTACTCAATATCATTATTTTTTTAAGTATGAGATTTATTTTTGGTCAAAGAAACTACATTTAATTTCACATGATCTTAATGGTGTAGAGTTTGATCTGAGCCTGCCAATGGTTTTACAGGATGCAGGGACAAACCTCTTCGTAGAAAAACATTTTACAATTGCATTATTGCTAAGGTTTAAAGCTGGAGAGATTTTGCACATGAAGTATGTATGAACAGTAGCAGTTTACAGTGAAGGCCAAAAATCAGAAGCTGCAGAAGAGGATGTGCTCCTCCATAAATCTCAGAAAATCTCGTTGTAAAATTGCTAAAATGTGGCTCATGGATAACAGAGGGGAAGTTCTACTCTAGTGAAAGCAATAGATTCTGCGCATAAATATTGCCAGATAAATAGATAATGAGAAATCAGACACACAGCCACAAACTAAAATGTTATTGTCCTTAGCTCTGCTGTCTATAGCAGAAATAACTAAGGATATTTTGTCACAGACCTCTTGCTCAGAGAGCAAGGGAAAATTTACCTACAAAGGAAAATTTTTCTGCAAATACTCATAGGAAGACAGTTAATCAACTATGGCCTATTTAAAACTGACAATCTGATCAGAAATATGTTTAAGACACACTTCTCCCTGTCTTATAAACCTGCCTTTTTGTGTGAATAGAAAAGAATTGCATGCAACAGATAACATATTTAAAATATTTATTTAAAATTATAAAAAGTATTTCATAGTGTCTGTCACTGCCAGATGCGAGAGTAGGCACAAGCTTAAGCCTCTGTGTTTGCAATTGTGATTTTTCATGTCACACATGCTGGCACTTTTAAAATACCACTGAAACGTGTTGAATTGAAAAGTCAGTGTTATCTGCTGAAAGACAAGAAACCCAAGTTCCTTCTAAGCAAAAATAGGTTTAGAGATTTTTCCCGTAAAGGTTAGTGCATCCTGAACAAAAAATTTTAGAAATATTAACAAGATTGTTTGATTAGAAAATAATAAGCAAAAGGAATTTTTGCAATAAAATCAGTTACTTTTATCTTATGTACAATGGAAATAGCACTTTTGTGTCCATCTGCAGTGCAAGGAAGTGCACAGTTTGTTCAGTGCTCTGATATTCTGGATATGGTTTCAGATGTCCCATAAAGACAGAACAGTATTGATGCTGGTGGGAAATCTCTGGAGTATTCTCCTTGTAGATTACAAATAAGAAATTGATATATTGTTTCAGTGTCATATGTCAATAATCTGGGATTTGTCTGTGAAATTTACTGTTTTAACTCCTGCCAGCTGCAAAACTCTGTTAATGGGAGCGTGATCCAACCTATGTTTATCAAGGTGCAAAAAATGAACTTCATTACCTGGAAAAGAATGAGAAAAAAAATGTAAATAGCCGAATAAAATATTAATTTATTTTAAGACATAAATAAATCAAAGAAGCATTCTAAATTCCTACTAGTTCTTGTAGAACTGTGCACTAGCTCTGTAGATTTTGCAGTACACTATATTTTAAACTATGGCTTTTTTTTTTTTAAATTAAGATTTTTTAAGTTATAGAAAGATGGGGCATTGAGGGATGTAACTAAATTAAATCTACTGTAGCAGGGTGCTTTCCAACTATTCATGTAGGTGATTTAGTCACATTATAGCCTCCCTTCATGCTTCATTCCTGTATTAAAAACATATTAAATGCCTAAGATCAAATATAAAAGCAGAGTGTAAGCAAACATGGAGATATCAACCCCCGCCCCCCGCCAAAACCAAAAAAAACCCAACCCTCCAAACTTCAAGCTAGCTGTTCCACTATGCTGAAGTCAACATTCCTGTTGATGAGGATGGCGATCAGCTTTGTCCCCTCTCTGTGGGAGGTGAAACAACACAATGCCACTTCTGCCACGTTCTTCTGGGTGGCAGACTTGCACAACACATGACTCTCCTTCCTCCTTGGAAAGCCTCAGGACAACAGCCAAGGCAGAAACAGATATGGCTAACAGCTGACGGAGGGGACTGTCACTTTCAGACGGAGCAAACAGGCTCACCTGGGCCTAGAATCAAAGTTCCTCCCTGCTGAGCTGGGTCTCCTTGAAAATCAAAAGCTGGGCCGGTCATCGCTCTCCACATACTCCTAATACTTCCCAACAGCATGTTTGATTTGACGTGAGGGCTCTGCACTAAACAAAACAGCAATATACTTTTTACCTAGAAATACAAAACTACTTAAGGCAAAACCAAAAAGTAAGCTGTTGCTATGAATAGCTTACAGTTTCCCGATTACTGAAGAAACAAAAGTTCTTCAAAGTTTAGACAAAGTAAAGTACAGCCTCCAAGAGGTCTGGTGGGCTGCTCCCTTCCTATTTCCATCGTGATCATATTATTTTATCAGAATATTCTTGTTTTGTTCTGAGTGAGACAAATCAAGGTGAGAAAATTACTCTTACCTGATGTGCCTGATATGTTGTTACCTTCGCCTCTTTTCATGCCAAGTGTTTTATAAATTTCCCTTTGTGGATCTACATACATTTCATGTGTATACCCAGTTAAACTGCAAAAGGGCTGCAAAATATGTACATACAAAAAATAGTATGTTTAAGATTAAGATAGGAATTAATTAGGATCTACTGACAGTGGAAAAATATTCTGAAAAAAATCCTGATTTTAAAACCTCTGAATCCATCATGTTAAACGAAAGTAAAGGTCAAAAATTTTTAGCCCTGAAGCTTTTACTAAAACACAGCTTCTAGTGAAATTAAGCAAAGATTTTCCTGGACAAATCTTAGTGGATTTTAAACGAAAAGTTTTAGTTATTTGTTTTATTCATGTGCTACTATTAGGATTGCTTCGAGGAAGTAATAAGAGCTCATTTTTCTGTGACTGTAAATGACCACCTTTTCCCTCAGAACAAAATCCTTCAGTGCAAATCATTAACACATAAAACACAATAGAGTATACAATTTACTTAATGACTGCTTTACCTTGATGTGATGATAAGATGACTGTCCAATAACTATAAGCCTCACATTTGCATCCTAGAACAGAACATAGATACTGAAACTATAAAGAGGAACTCTGTTTCTGCATGGCTGCAAAACATTAGCAGAATCTAGTGCTCCAAGTTAATCATCAGGGTGTATTGTGTTAAAATTATTTGAAATTAAAGTCATTTACCTACTTGGAGCACTTACTTTTGTCTGTCACCTACAGTAAGTGGCTGTACTAACTTATGAAGGAATAAATTGTTTTTTTTTAAAGATAGCTTTTAAGTTACAGGTATGTAAATTTTATGTTCTCTGTAGCATTAGTAGAGTCATATTTTCAACTGATTGCAAGCAGTTTATGATCTTGGAAATGTAAAATTCCTACCGAATTTTACCTACATCTAGAAAAGCAACACACAAATATTGGTGCATGTGCAAGTACCTCTGTGATTTACTTATACCAATGCCCATTCTTATATATATATGTGTGTGTGTGTATACACACATGCGCACACACACACACACATATATGTATATGTATATAACCTAGATCCGTAGGTACTGATATCTTTTGCAAGTGCAACATTAGGGCTGAGCCTAAAATGCAGACCAAAATGTAAGTTTATTTAAATGACAGTGATATAGCTAATGGAACTTAAGGTTACTTGAATATTATGATATAGTGCTTGCCCATCCCCCAGTAGAATCACTTTGCTTTTTAGCAAAAGGAATCTTCCTAAAAATCAAATACTCATACTAAAAAAGTAAGAAAGAATTTGATTTTCTCTATATATTTATATGAGCAGCCAAATTAAAAAATGTCATGTTGAGTAACATTAACTGTGCGTCTTAGATAAGTCTTGCCCTCGGAAGGGGAGCTGAAGCTTCTCTACTGAGAAGGAATCCTGAAGAAGTTACTCCTTTCCATCCCCAATTTCCTATTCCATCTAAGGCCTGCTGGGTCTCTATCCTCAGCTATCTTGCTGTTGGGAACAAAATATGACAAAACTTCAATCAGCAGACTAGAAGAGATAGATTAATCTTTCTAATTTAGCAAGGGATCATTGTCTTTCTCTGCTATCTCCTACCACTCAATAGATACCAGTCTGTAGCAACTGCTACCTATTCCATTTCTCCTTTCTGTCACTATTTCACTCCTGTTTGTGCAGCTGCCTGGTGAACAGGTTACAGAACTGATGCAGCTTGCCAATAACCTGTAGAAAAAGACTATTTTTAATCCAGATCAACTTCCTGATTTTGTTCCATGCACCACCATTAATCAGCTGTACCAGTGTAATAGAAAGGGCAGTAGTTAGTTAGCAGTAGGGAATAGGCAGCTGCCCAGAGTAGAACTAATTTAGAAAGAAATACCTGTCAAATATTGCCTAACTGTTCAGAACACAGTCAGAAGAACAGCATCAAGCTAATAGTGCAGGGAGAAATAATGTTGCTGCAAATGAGCATGTCGGGCAATAGATTCCTGCATGTGTCTCCTAGGCAGATACATTACGGTAATTGTAGCAAACAATGAAAGTACTAACTTTAGTTTGAGCTTCTGTTTTGTTCCTGGAAGGCTTAAACATCATGCAGCAGGAGGTAAGAGATCTGTGTGACTGCAGCAACGCCATGTACAAATACATAGTAAGGGCATTGTACTTACTTCTAAAAAACTCTTGGGGACTTTTGCCAGGTCTTCTACATACTCTTTACAGGTGTAACATAAAAAATTCTGCAACATAGCCAGTTGGACATGTCAGAAAGACATAATTGCATAGCAATGCAGCATCAGACTCAGACTTCAGGCAGAAACCATTTTGGAGAGGACCAGAAACTGGGAACGGGAAAGATTAGACTTCACTGCAGCAGCCAAATTCAGATTAGGATCTTCGTTTTATCCAAGGCTGAACAGGGACACTGGGTTTGAGGCCTTGCTATTATTTTTTATCACTAGGAGTGCAACAGCTGACTTATCAGCCAGGGAAATCAGGGAACATAATAGCTGTTTCCCTAAACACATGATAGACTTCTTTCCCTTCAAATAAAAGTTATATCTTTTTACTAAAGAATGGAAGATCCTGGAAATAACTGATCTGCTTTATATTTTCTTTTCTCTCTGCTCCAGCCTAGCCTGTTTAAGGCCCTTTTTGTTTATAGCCAAGCTAGAGCTCCCGGCATGTAACTTATTTGCTAGTTTGCTCAAGTGCCTGTAAGCTCCAGACAGGCGACTAACCCTGCCTGGAAACTCCTCTCTCCTCACCCGCACAAACACCACGATCGCTTTCTGCTCCCCGTACAGGGCCCTGAAGGGGATCTTTTTCCCGTCCGCATCTACCACCAGGCACTGGGCGGCCTCTCGCAGTTCCTCCGGCTCCCGGTGCTGTGAGACAGGCGTGCTGCAGATCTGCTGCGTGACAGGGGCTGCTGGAGAATGGGCCATAGCTGAATGGCCTCACTTCAGTTCTCCTCGTCTTTGACTGGCCTTCCTGGCCTTGGAAAACGGAGGAAAAGAAAGGCGGAGCCAGACAGAAAAGCTCAGGGAGGATGTGACTGTGATGAAGTGAGGCTTGGTGGGAGGGTATCATCTCTATTCCTGGAACGCATCCACCTCCAATAGCAGCAGGGTCAGCAGCTGAACGCTCCACGTCTGCAGACACTTCACTCACTTAAGGAGGAGTTGATGAGTTTGGGCTCTTTCAGTAAAAAAAGAGAAATCAGCTGCCAAAATTACGTATAAGGAGAGCCAGAATGCAGTTTGTTCCTAGAAAACATAACCAAACCAAACCAAACCTACCAGAATTTATGTGTAATTATAGCACTGATGTTATTGTAAGGTTTCAAGATCAGGGTTCATTTTGCAGGATGCCACAACGGCTCAGAGGATTGTGAATGAACTGGAAACTTCTGTCTTCTAGGAACTGTCAAGCTGCTGCATGAGAAAGGGTGGAGCCCGTTTTCCTGTTTTGAAGTAAAAGTAGAACTTTATTTGACTTTGGTAGGTAAACAGAGATGCAGAGGATGCTGAGCAGTACAGATGTTCATGTTAGCACAGAAGCAACACAGAAATGAATGAACAGAACAGACTTTCTTAAAACAAGAAGAACACCAAACAGACGAAGAATATCTCAAGTTGTAAAGGTGTGTTTTGTTAGCTGAAAGTTTATGAGGAGGACAGCACCTGTTTCTTAGCAGAGAGAGAAAAAGTAATATAAGAAGGAACAAGACTGGAGGGGGATCTCCAGAATTTATTCTCCTTTCTCAGGCCGTTTGATGTAGTTAATTCTGGAGTGTCCGTTGACAAAGTGACCTAGTATCTGTACTGTTAATGTCTCTCAAAGACAAATCCCCTGTGCTTTGGATTAAGCCCATTGCTTCTTACACTGTTGGAAGTGAGCACCTGGAAAAAGCTGATCCCTTTGTTGCATCAAGTTTTTGTTGCTGGGCAGGCTATTGCAAGGCTGCCCTCAATCTTTTGTTTGCTAGACCAGACAATCCCCTTTTTTCTCAACTCTTTCTTCTCATAGGTCATATTTTCTAGAATTTCTAGAATACACTTTTTATATTTTCCTCTGGACTTTCCACATGGTTTCCATTATTCCCGAAATTCAGAGCTTAAAATAAGACACATTATTTCAGCTAAGTGGCAGGGGGGCTTCAGATATCTCAGGGGCTGTACGTCCACTTACAAATTCTGGCACTGTGATTATCTTTTTTGCAACAGCACAGCATTATTGACTCACATTCAGCCTGAGGTCCTCTGTAATCCCCAGCTTCTTTTCAACAGGCCTTCTCTATCTAGCAGGGAGTGCATTACTGCCGTTCCTCTGGTAATATTCAGGGAAAGAAATTCTCTCTGACTTCAGAATGTCTGAAAGGTCAAATTAGCTCTATGTAGGACATTTACACGTGATGATACAATGTAATTTGACACTGCAGTTGGAATAGTCCCTAACGGTTTTAAAAATTCTTGGCAAAAAGGATGTCAGGACACTTACAATGCTTTATGCCAGATTAACAAAGAGGGAAACAGCACTGCGGTGTAGATCACAATATGAGAGGAAGTGATCTCTGACTGATATAGCCATGTACAAGTTGTTAGCGCATATATGCAGGCAAAACTATCCTGCCACTAGTATAACCCTCTTGTTTCAGTCATGGACATTTATTTCATGGTATAGAGTGGCTTTGCCAGGTTAATTGTGATCATCATAGCACTTTTCTGAGGTAGTAAATCACAGTTTGACTGTTACTAAAGCACTTTTTGTATATTTGCCTGTGGCTGTGAACTTCAAGGACTATTCTTGTGGTCCAGTATGTCCTCACAATGGTTTTGATTTAAAAGATAGTGAGCTCAAGTTGGTGAAGGATGTCTGAATATTGTGAAAATTATGTTCTGTTAGGTGAGAACTTGGGCAGTATGTCATGTTGTTGCTATCAAACTTCTTTGTTCACTCAACAGTTACATATATTTTATCCTCTCAAACAGATCTCTTCAGCTAGCAGCTGTGAGTCAAATTTGGGCTGTGCAGCAGCATTTTGTGGCCCCTCAACAATAGTGGTGGGGAGCAGCCTATTTACCCTTTGCTACCCCAGGATGCAGCAGAGCAAGGAGAGCCAATTGGTCTTGGCATACTCGAGGCTGAAGTGGGCAGGCCAGCCACATAACCTTGCTGTTTCATAGCTGCAGTGAAATCTATGAGTAACATAGATGTTGTTGGGCAGGAGCAGGGGGAGCAGCTCAGCACCTAGATGTCTCTGCAGCTGGAAATTAGAGCCTGCACAAGGGGTGGTGCTGCTTCAGGGGATCTGCCGTTATCTACAATATCCGGTGCAGGACTACAGGGAGGGATGAATCTGCTCATGGAAAGACTCAGGCAGGGTGTCACGTACTCACAGGACACAATATAGATGTGGTATGCAAGTAGTTGTTCTTGTGCTTAGACTCCAGAGAGCTCATTCTCATTTGACTTGAAATAAAGTCTCTGAAGAGCCCAGCCTATCCTCTGGAGCTGGTAAACATTTCCACCTAAGGCAATTAAAGATACTTCCAGATGTCTCTTTTTTATGCTGTTTGACCACCTTAAACTAGTTGTCAAAGGATTCTCTAAAGAAGAGAAAATAATCCCTAAAACAATACAGTTCTAATTTTTAAGAAGGGTTCTTCAAATATTACTAGAATACAAACATAAATTGTCATCATCCCCTATTTTACAGAGAAGGAAGAGAGACTAAGAAAGTTTAACAATGACGTTTTCTCTGAGAGAGGAATTACTGAAAATTAGCCTTCACTTTTGAAAGCTTAGAACTGTTCATTTAAGTATATACATATTAAAAATACTGACATAAAGTCCACTGACTTAATTGGAAATAATCCATATCTGCTGGCTTCAGATACTCCCCACAGTACTGACTGTCTACAAATATGATCCTCTAAAGCCATAAAGTCCTACAATGTGAGCTGTGATTAGGAAGACTTTCTCTTCTTTCCCTTTCTCATCTTTCTTTATAAGTCCTCAAATACAGAATTTATACCATGGAAACATAGTACTCATCAAAGTGATGTCTTTTTTAATGTTTTTAGGAGAATCAGTTGGTACATTGTCGTTGTTAATCATGATGTAGCAGTCAAGATTCGTGTCGCTTTCTTCAGAGCGGTGTCATTTACACTTTTAAAGAGAAACTTAGATAAATACTTAATTAACAGTTGAGTTGCTTTGTGTTATGGATAAGAAATTCAGATTTCTGCCATCTCAAGAGGAAGGAAAATAATTACACACAGATGTAGTATAATTATTTGTTCCATATTGGCTAATGAAACAAAATACCAGCTGTAATTATGTAACCTGAATCCTTTTATTTGTAACAGCTGAACAAAACATCTGATAAGAGTAGCTCGGCCTATATAAGTAGCATACCACCCTGTTTAGGGTATGTAGTATTTATTTTTAAAGCATCATGTTATTATCAACTTACTACAGGATGCACTATATGTTTAGTGGTAGTATATTTATTTTTTTTGGCTAAGTATTTTTTAGCTGGAGATAACATAACTATTAGCTATCACTGAAAAGACTTTTTAACACTGGAATTATAAATGCAAATTTATCATGCTATATGCTAGCTAAAATTGAATTGCTTTTAAACAATAATTTTAATTAAAAAATAAAAGTCCATAAATAAGAGCTCTTTCTTCTATGACTATCTTCCACTGTATCCGCAGTGTAATGATATACTGGAGATATACTAGGCTTCCTGGCATGTAGTTATGGGACTGATTCTTCTAACCAGCAAAAAGAACTGCTTACAGCCTCAAAAGAGTCAAGTTGCAGTTCTTGGTTTCATCTCAGTTTTTTTTTTTTTTTCCTGGCGAGTGCTCTTAATCTCCTGATGTGGTTCCTTTTTGCTTTTTCTTTCCTTTTCTTGCTGAGGGAGGAGAGTTTGCAGTTTCAGTCCTTTTAGTTTTTCAAGGTTATTCATAGGACTAAGGGCTTTGTGAATCTGTTGACAGTGCTAGTATGTGTTGTATGCTGATTAACCGTTATCTCATGACAAGAAAATAACTTAAAAGATAATGGAAGAAATACTATCATAGTGCAGTGATCATGCTTACACATGAAGAACCCCTCCCTGCCCCTCAATGATATGTTGGGTGTATTTGGTTGTGTTTACAAACCTTACAGGGAGAGCACTAACTATAAATTTTACTCCAAAACAAAATGTAATGATATTAAGTGAAATGTGCACCACCTGGATATTAAAGTAGCCTCAAGGCATAAACAGACCCTTTAATATATTTAGTCAAAGTTCTCTATATCTGATCCATCTCTGTTTTGCAGTTACCTACCTTGTGTACTGTAAATGAAAAACTAGGGTAACCAGCTACAAATCCAGAACAGTAAGTTACGTGTGGACACACTGTTCTGGTGCTGATTTGAAGACCTAAGAGAAAGCAAGTTTCTCACCTAAAGAAGTGAATATGTAAAAAGATAAAGCATAGGCAAAAAGTAAATAAAATATATGCTATAATCCAACCTGATGAAGCAGTTGGTCATATATCTTGTTATCAGTAAGGCTCTTAGAAAGTAAGCTAATTATCTGTAATGTTTAAATTATACTGTAAGCTAGATCAGGGGATTATGATATGAAGAATGAGAATAGAAGTGGAGGTTACCACATGCCGTGTTCCTGCCAAAGTAAACCTTCTTGTATAAGACTCTTACAATGTCTTACTAGTAAACAAATGCTTTCTTGAAAATCTTAGATACTGCAGCTTTTTTTTTTTTTTTACAGAAACCATTTATTTCTAGCAGAACAATCTAAATCTTTGTTTTCTGCAGTATTCTACTTTTTGCCTATGCTGAAAAAACATACTGTAGGAAGATATTTTTAAGCTGCTGTTTCTGTTTTCTGTGTACATAGTGAGCTGGTTGTGTACTTAAAAGTGGATTCTGTTCAACTGGCTCTGTTACATACGGCAACTTTGACATTTAGCTACAGTTAGCAATTTCTTTTTTGAGGCCA